CAGACCCTACCTTGCCAAAGTAGAACCTGGGGCAAAATCAGGGTTATGATTTAGGGGAGTCAAGGGACCGTCTAGTGTCGTGAGGGTGCCCCGTCTCCGCTGAGTGGTGAATTCCTGAAGGGATGCTCCAATTAGAGGGTGGATGGTGATGTGCCTGGGGCTATGTCGTTGATGAAGCCATGACAGAGCAGTCAAGGGAGGTGCGTTTCCCAGTGTGTTTCCATGGCGACCCAAAGTTTAGAAGAGAGTTCAGAAGAGACCGCATTTAAACACTTAATATGGCCAGACAAACAACCGAGAATTGCATGGTCACTATTGAAGGCTCCCAAACACCTAGGCGGCCTTGACGTGCCAGACATATTGGAATATTATCTGGCCTCCCACCTTTGCCGGATTGTCGACTGGCATGTCAACGCACCTTCTAAACTTTGGGTCGCTATGGAAACACACTGGGAAAACGCACCTCCCTTGACTGCTCTGTCATGGCTTCATCAGCGACATAGCCCCAGGCACATCACCATCCACCCTCTAATTGGAGCATCCCTTCAAGAATTCACCACTCAGCAGAGACGGGGCACCCTCACGACACTAGACGGTCCCTTGACTCCCCTAAATCATAACCCTGATTTTGCCCCAGGTTCTACAACGGCCTTTCTCACTCACTGGACGCCCTCAGCTCCATTAGCAGCACACTCATTCTTCAAACGCAGTGCCTTCCTCCACAAAGAGGACCTAGCTCCCCTCTCCAAGTCAGGACAGCTTCCTTGGTGGATTTATCTGCAAGTCAGGCACTGCCTTATTAATCCAGCTAAAAGGGGGGGTTTTGCTAGAGACATGGCCAGTTTTGAAAAGGCGTTCTCTAGCGAAGGTCCCTCTCGACACTTGACGTCGTGGATTTATGGTCTGGTGCGCCAAGCCCACTCGCACCGCCACCTTACGCGCAACCTGGGAGCGGGAGCTAAACCAGGAGATCCCAGTAGACACTTGGGAATCAGCATGCTTGGGTGCACACAGAAGCTCAGTGAGCTGTAGGACTCGGGAAACAAATTTCAAACTCCTCTCTCGATGGTATAGAACCCCAGCTCTCCTCCACAAATTTGACCCAGCAATACCAGAGGCTTGTTGGAGATGCACCTCAGCACGAGGTACACTCATCCACATCTTCTGGGAGTGTTCCCTTCTTCAACCTTACTGGAGACAGATCCACGATATTATTGCTCAGATCACAGGGGAACAGCTCATTTTTAGCCCAAGTACCTACCTAAGGGAGGTGCGTTTCCCAGTGTGTTTCCATGGCGACCCAAAGTTTAGAAGAGAGTTCAGAAGAGACCGCATTTAAACACTTAATATGGCCAGACAAACAACCGAGAATTGCATGGTCACTATTGAAGGCTCCCAAACACCTAGGCGGCCTTGACGTGCCAGACATATTGGAATATTATCTGGCCTCCCACCTTTGCCGGATTGTCGACTGGCATGTCAACGCACCTTCTAAACTTTGGGTCGCTATGGAAACACACTGGGAAAACGCACCTCCCTTGACTGCTCTGTCATGGCTTCATCAGCGACATAGCCCCAGGCACATCACCATCCACCCTCTAATTGGAGCATCCCTTCAAGAATTCACCACTCAGCAGAGACGGGGCACCCTCACGACACTAGACGGTCCCTTGACTCCCCTAAATCATAACCCTGATTTTGCCCCAGGTTCTACAACGGCCTTTCTCACTCACTGGACGCCCTCAGCTCCATTAGCAGCACACTCATTCTTCAAACGCAGTGCCTTCCTCCACAAAGAGGACCTAGCTCCCCTCTCCAAGTCAGGACAGCTTCCTTGGTGGATTTATCTGCAAGTCAGGCACTGCCTTATTAATCCAGCTAAAAGGGGGGGTTTTGCTAGAGACATGGCCAGTTTTGAAAAGGCGTTCTCTAGCGAAGGTCCCTCTCGACACTTGACGTCGTGGATTTATGGTCTGGTGCGCCAAGCCCACTCGCACCGCCACCTTACGCGCAACCTGGGAGCGGGAGCTAAACCAGGAGATCCCAGTAGACACTTGGGAATCAGCATGCTTGGGTGCACACAGAAGCTCAGTGAGCTGTAGGACTCGGGAAACAAATTTCAAACTCCTCTCTCGATGGTATAGAACCCCAGCTCTCCTCCACAAATTTGACCCAGCAATACCAGAGGCTTGTTGGAGATGCACCTCAGCACGAGGTACACTCATCCACATCTTCTGGGAGTGTTCCCTTCTTCAACCTTACTGGAGACAGATCCACGATATTATTGCTCAGATCACAGGGGAACAGCTCATTTTTAGCCCAAGTACCTACCTACTCCATATCCGTGAGGAGGAGACTGAGGGGCCCCACAAATCTCTCAGTAAGCATTTGATTAACGCGGCTCGAACAGTCATACCGAGACAATGGAGAGAGGCACGGCCCCCTTCTCTTACCGAATGGATCACTCAGGTAAATTATATCTCTGAAATGGAAGAACTCCTCTTTATCAAACTAGACAAGGTGACCAAATTCTCTAGGCTATGGGCACCATGGACACACTTTTGCCTAGGAAAGGTATGCGAAGAACTCACACGCACCACCGCTTAGCAGAATAACATACAAGTAAATTGCCTACCGATCCTCAGGGAACACATTTCTAGTGTATGAGACGATGCTCCCAATGGAAGTAGACCCATAACGACAAGCTTTAGGTCCCTCCCATCACGACACCCAACATCCTATTAGTTGGCTTGTTGTGTGGCATATTGCCGGAAAGATGTGATATGTTTGATCACAATACATGTATGCCTTTTTCTTTTCTTATGTTCAATAAAATAAAAATCTTAAATGGGAAAAAAAAATGTATTTTGCTGTTTTTGATCTTTGTTTGTGAAAGGCTGACTGTAAGCCAGCCTGTAAGCTTAGGAAAACGTTGTTCTGTATCAGGAATGGAGTCCTTTTATATTCTTAGCCCTGGACATGTGTACAACTTGTATAGACTCTACTTCTCCACCTGTCCATATATCTGATCTATATATGTTACACATTTTCAATTATACTTTTTTTTTCATTGTGTTTGCGAGCTGACCCTGTGACAAATGAACACCATATACCATGCACTGTTTGTATTAGTCCTCGTTCACACCTGAACGTTTTGTAGCGCGTTCTACGCTCGACGAACGCTCTACAAAATGCTGAAAAATCTAAATCCCATTGTATTCAATGGTCTCGTTCCCACCTTGGCGTATTTCCGCCCATCCTTAACGCACTACAAAACGGCACACGCCTAAAAAGGTACATGTACTACTTTGGATATGCGACGGTCGCGCATATGCAATACGCCTAGGTGTGAACGAGACCTTTAGTGTTTCTTTTTTATTGATTCAAAACTGAATAATTATTAATTATACACAAAAAGAATAAGCCTAAGGCTAGGTTCAGATATTGCGCACAATTGCACACATTGATTTCAATGGGTAACATCCGCGCGGCAATCACTAAAAAAAGGCACGTACCCGTTTTTGCGACGCACAGCTTTTTTTTTTTTTTTAGCCGCGATCGTGTTCAATTGCATGGGTGGTATCGCGGGTGTAAAGTACGTGATTTGCCTGGCACGACTGGGGTGCCATTAGCTGCTGTGGGACCCGCCAGCTTTAACATATGTAGAGAAGGACCTCGGTGTTGTGTAAGGCTGCCCTAAATGCCCATCAGACAGGTGTTTTACAGGGCAGCCTTACGCAGCGCCGGGGTCTTTCCCCTGCATTTGCGAAAGCCGGCAGCGGGTTTAATTTTGTGCAGAATGCACCCTCCTTGCTGTTGCCGGTGTTGCATCTTGACACAATTCCAGGAATTGGACAGAGTTGGTAGCTGCACATCATGGAGGGCGCCTGTAGGCACTTGCCTACTCTGCCTAATGGTAAATCCAGCCCTGTAAGGGAGGATGGGTTGAGGTTGAGGGGGCTGCGGACTGGCACCCTGTTCTAGTGTACAATCCAAATATGGGTGGAACATGGTATAAAAAGTGTATTATGCCTTTAAATATCTAGTTGAAAGTGTTTTTGTGGCAGATTTCTAGCAAAAAATACCTGTTGATCTTGCCATCTGTTAACTTCTTGTGCTGAACTTTTATTAGTTCAATTGTTCCCAGTTATCCCTAAAGACCGCAGAACCCCGACCCCAACGGAGGCCCGTTGACTTGCAGTTTTAACCTCCATTCACTGCCATTGACTTCCGTTGCTTTGCGATTACATCCATTTTTCTTGACACTTTTATTGCATTACGTTACGCTGTGTTTGAAAAAGAGTAAAGCATGGTCTACTTTTTTTAGCACACAGAAACAGAGCAGTGTGAACTGGTCCCATTCACATCCGTACCTTTTTTCAGGTTATCTTCCGTTGGTATCCAAAGGGATGATAACGGATTTGGTGCGAATGGGCCCTTAGTGGTTGAAAAACACCTGTGCCTGAGATTACTTTCACTTTTTAATGTAGAAAACTCAATGTGGGGTATAAGCCCTGACTACTCACAGGCTCCTTGTCTATTGAGAATGTCTTGCTAACTAGTAAGAGATACTTACTGGACAGTAGGCTGATGGATGGGCAGGGTTTATGTCCTTGGTTGAGGCCCACAGAGGTAAAAGTGTGGGCACTCTTTAAGTAACAGCCTATCTTTAAGTGGACATGGCATGTTAAAGATTTACTCTTCCTTCTAGATTTTGAACATGCTGTAACAGTGGCATTTCATGCATCACTACACTCTGTACGGACAGAACCATGTTATTGATAACAAAGTGGGTCAATGCTTTTAATGTAGTGAGCTTAAACTCAGTGTACGGAACTGGAAATAGCCAATTTGACTTGTCCCGGTACATTTACTGTGAACAGATCATTTTCTTTTAATAAGTACTTGGTTGTTAATGACAGTACCTATTTTTCCCTAGATGGTAAAATACATTTATTAGAGAAGTACATTGTTAATATTTAATGTTTTGCTTATTTTAGATTTTCCCCAGCTACAGATGAACCGCCACAGTAAAGGATGGCTCGATTAATTAATATGCACAGGACTTCCCTGGCCACGTGGAAAGGACTTATATCTGTGCGCTCCATGGTGACATGTCCCAGAGTAGTTCTAGGGATAGAAACAAGCTGTGATGATACCGGGGCTGCAGTTGTTGATGAACATGGAAACATACTTGGAGAAGCTCTTCTGTCTCAGAAAGATGTTCACTTAAAGTGAGTAGGTCATTCTTCATCTGGGGGCAATCTGAATGATGTGTAAATATACTATGTCCTCTATTTATGGTGTAGTTATGTGCAAGATAGAAGGTGATCATTTTTTTGTTAATTAGAATTCATTTTAAAGTTAACCTGTCACAAACTTGAGCAGTTCAAACCAGGCATATGATGATAAAATGTATGCTTAGAATCAATCAGGAATCCAGGTATATAGGCAGCTACAGTGATTTGCAAATCTTTTCCTGTAAAAGTCAATCTTGACCCGCCCCCATTGCCTGAGCCCCCTTTTTGGTCACTTATGTGATGTACAGGCCCATTTGCCAACCTGGTAGGGCACAGGGGACACATGCTTGATTTCTAAATGTATTAGTCTTCACACAGCTCTTGCTTTTACTTTGTCTTGACATCTGTACGTGAAGGGAACCTCTTTTCATTTTAAAAGAGATAATATTGGGGTGGTGGACAATGGGGAAATGGAGTTTAGGTCAGCTTTTAAGGTAAATTGCTACTGCAGCCTATTGCCTTTTAATCTTTTTTTTTTTGTATTGGAAGTCTTCACTTTGGAGTTAAGGTAACGTAGAGATAACCTTGAAGAACGTAGAGATAACCATTCCCAGAGTTCTGTAATTTGCAATGAAATTACAGTGAAGACTGACAGTTTGCCTGGAAAGGCAGATTACAAACTCTAAAGAAATGGATGTCATAGACAGCGGGGTAGCTATTACAAACATCCTAATACCTTGTACACCCATGCTCATCTTTAGTGCATGCGGATGATCCGGATCCAATATTCAGCGGTAGTAAAGTCTACAGTATATTAGAGGTTCAGAAAGGTGAAATTTTTCTAACATTACCGACACTGAAGAATTTCTTTGTGGCATGGGGTTTCTCAGCTCTCCATTTTCTCTGAAACAGTACCCCCAACTACACCTAGTCTGCATGGAGTACATTCTAGAAAATAGAAACCTAACCCAAGCTAGTCCACTGTTCTAGTTCAGTGTTTCTAAGCCACTGACCTGGAGAAACAATAGCGATAAAGAATTCTGACACTCATTTACAACATGGATGTTTTAGTCTGTAATTAAGAATATTGAGGTCAGAAACAGCCAGGCAAATCGCATTTTTAGAAGGAAGCCAGCAATGCTAGCTTCTGCTCGTCTCTCATGACTGGTATACTTTAAACCACAAAATGTAACCGATTTCTTTTTCTCTGTTATGATGCTACATATGGCTAGCTATGAAGTGAGATTTTTTTTTTTCCAATGTCTTCCAATACAGGACGGGTGGCATTATTCCATCAGTGGCACAGCAGCTTCACAGAGACAACATTGATAGAGTTGTTAATGAAGCCATTGTTTCTAGTGGGATTTCAGCAAGTAAGCTTTCAGCTATCGCCACAACCGTGAAGCCTGGACTGGCTCTGAGTCTTGGAGTTGGCCTAATATACAGTTTAAATTTGGTAAAACAGTATAATAAGCCTTTTATACCTATACACCATATGGAAGCTCATGCCTTGACTGTTCGGTTGTTGCATCCAGTAGAGTTCCCATTCTTGGTACTGCTGATTTCAGGAGGACATTGCCTCTTGGCTGTAGCCAATGGAGTATCAGATTTTTTGTTGCTTGGACAGTCCATAGATGAAGCACCAGGCGACTCTCTGGACAAGGTATCATTTCTTTTACAGAAAAATGTACAGCTTAAACAAACCAAGTGCATCACAAATACTGAAACGTTTTTACATGTCAGGAAGTGTGAGAAATGTGTAACAGTGAGAGAAAAAAAGCTCTGACAGGGGTCCTAGCCTTCCTCCATTCTACAAAAAAAATTGTTTGTCTGTGTTGCTGTTGGGAGAGTTCCTCTCACTTTCTGTCTGTTAAAAGCAGGACCAGAAGTGAGGAGAAGTCGTCTCTCAGAGCCCTGGATATCAGTAGAAACCAGACAGTGCTTCTCTAACCTGCCCCCACTCTATCCAAGACAGTGTTTTGACTGGACATACACTTTAACCCAGTGTTTCTCAACCTTTATTCAGTCACTGCACCCTTTAAAAGTATGAAATCTTCTGACACCCCAGTCTAAAATGTCATGGATTTTAACCACTTGCAGCCCAGAGCAATGTCTTAAATCTGCACACACATGATAAAATCTGAATTTTTGGCTAGAAAACAGCCAAAAAATATTTTCTGAAAGCAGAGGCCATGTAGAATAAAAAGATGTTAGTTGCTATTTTTTATGTCTCGCTGTATTTGCGCAAATGTTTATCAAACCAGTATTTTTAGGATAATACACACTAAAATGGAATTTAGTGCAGAGAAACAGAATACCCAATTTTTTGGTACGATATAAAACAAGGGGTCATGTCGGGTAATTAGATACCAAACATGCCAAGCCTTATAATTGCATGCATCCTTGAAACCGCAAAAAACTACAATAACCAAAATTTCCCATAGGCAACGCTTTAAGCACTTTTACTGCTCATCAGTTTAGTGTTAACAGTGATTGATGGGCCTAGAATTATTGCTCTCACGCCGACACTCGCAGCCATATGTTAAATGTGTGGCGCAGTTTTTGCACGTAAGCGCCTCCGACGCATGTTTGTGTTGTACGTGGGGGCGGGGGACTTTAAAATTTTCTTTTATTTTTTTTTATCTATTACTTTATTTTTTTTTACATTCAACTTTATTATCACATAGGGTGCTAACAAGCCCCCTATGTAATAGCAAATATATTGTGACAGGTCCTCTGAAAGACATCAGAGGTCTTTCAGACACCTAATGTTACCTAGGGACCCCCAAGGAAGCTGATGAAGCAGAGATCTACTTCACCAGCTTCTTCTGGCTCTAGGAGCCGGAGAATGTGCACAGTGAACCCAGAAGTTATGTAATGCACGTCACTTCTGGGTCCAGTGATCGGAGGAGAGATCAGCCTATGGAAGCCTGCTGATCTCCCTCCAATTAATCAGGGGAGACCCACCATGCTGGCCCCGGGCTCGCATGGGGGACAGTGGAGCCCGGGAACCCTACGGCGGCACCGGTGGAGGGGGGTGGACACAGCGCCGCACCATAGAAGCGATCTGTACAGATGCCGGATTGCTTGTATTTAAACGGCAATCGTCTGCTGTTTAAAACAGTACCAAGAACACGGCTCGTGGTATAAACACTTCCAGTGGATAGCGTGTATTTACGTGAACCCGCTGGAAGTGGTTAAGGGGGGACCCCATGCAAAAACACACAAAAAAGTGGGTTTTCCCCTTCACATCAAAGTGCCCCCTTCAAATCAACATTTCCTCCACCTTTACATCAGTCCACCTATTCACACCAGTAGCCCCCCCTCCCTTTGACATCAGAGTTCCCCCTTTACATCAGGAGCCCCCTTCACATCAGTCTTCATTCCACCCTTCACATCACAGTCCCACCCCTGAGGAAGCTAGAGGGCACACCAAAGGCTGCTTTTAACCAATGGCATTTTTCCATTCACGTTCATACATTTTGGTAATTTTATGTTTCCTTTCTTGGCTGATTTTATAGTTTTTTTTCAGGTTTTACAAGAAACATAATACAGAATTATGGAGAATAACCGTGACAGTACAATCTTCTTTTTTTTTTTTTTTTTTTTTTAAAAATTTTTTTTTTTATTTTTAAAAAATATAAAAAGACCCGGATCCGGATACCACCCAGGAACCTCTACTGCTTCCATTGTGACACCTCCACTAAATCGCAAGTACTCTCAGTGCTTTGCACTCATTCTCAGTTGGACTGTTATAAGTTATCTATTGGCTTAATATAAGGACTGTTATAAGTTATCATTGGCTTAAGTTACATTGGGGTTTTGTACTTCCACCAGTTTGGGGATATATCATTGGACTCCTGCATTTATACTCTTCCTTATCATTTGCCACTACTTTGCCATTTACTTGCATAATTAATCCCATCCATTTAAGCCATATAATTTAAACTGAGGCTGTGATGTGAGGAACTCTAACTCTCTGTTAAAACTGAGAGAGTGAAACCAGAGTTCCATCCCTGAGAAGCCTCCGCAGCTGAGATCCACGCTACCTCCGTACAGGCGTGACAGCGCCGCGCCTGGTGCGAGCCCGGGACCAGCACGGGGGCCCCGCGACAGGGAATCGGAGGGAGACTGGCACACGAGCTCCCCCCTGTCCCCTCCCCAGTGTCAGAACGTGGAAGCGATGTACACTACCGCAGCATTCCTGTGCCATTCCACAGATGGAGAGAAGCTGGTGAAGCAGATCTCTGCTTCATCCGCTTCTTTGGGGGTCCCCAGGTGACATTAGGGGTCTTGGAGACCCCTGATGTCTCCATAAAGAGGACTGCCACATCTCTTTGCTATCACATAGGGGGGTTTCCTAGCCCCCTATGTGACCACAATAAAGCCAAGTGGGGAAAAAAAGAGAAAAAAAAAAACCAAAAGCTGCAAATTAAAAAAAAAAAATCAAAGTCACACATGAAAAAGAATGTTGAAAATTTTCTTGCACCAGGCGCGCACACATGCAAAAACGACGACCGCACCCCCAACCACTCCACACATCGCCGCGAACGCCGCAGTGAGAGCAACTACCCCAGGGCCACCACTCACTGACACCAAACCGATGATTGGCAAAAGCTTCCAAAGCACCGCCCATGGCCAACCCTGGGCACGGTAGTTCCCCGCGACCGTACAATCTTAACCAAAAAAAAGATTGGTTCAAGGCTTTGAAGAATTGTGTGCCCTGGGTTTCCCATCTCCTAAAAACTATTGTCCTATCATTCGTGATTTAACTGACCATTATTAAAATGATTGGCCCATGTCAGCGCGCTTAATAACCTCCACCATTCTAGTAGTGTCTGGTATGTAAAAAGGGCGAAAATACAAAAAGATAGAGGTAGAGGAAAGACAAAGAGTGAAAATCAAAAAAAGAAAAAGGGAAGTTTCATAAAGAGGGGGATAAGGGAAGGGGGGCAATGGCAGTCTGGTTCTTACTGAAATTAGAATAACTGATTTACTAGTTCTTGGAAGTACTGTTACCAGTAATGCTGCTCAGCCATTATTAGCTGAAAATGAGCTAGATTTCCTTCTATTCACAATTTAATCTTAATGTAACATTTTCACCTGGACAATGATGCAGCTTATAAACTGTCATTTATGATATTTGTAATATGTTTCAGGTTGCCAGACGCCTTTCACTGATCAAACATCCTGACTGTTCTTCTATGAGTGGAGGACAAGCAATAGAGCACTTATCTCAGTTTGGGGACAAAACCTTTTGTAGAGAAATTCAACCAAAGTCGCGACACCGGGACTGCAACTTTTCTTTTGCTGGACTGCGAAGTCACTATAATTATATTATTCAAAAAATGGAGGCCGTGGAAGGTAAGTGAGGATAGCTTCATATTTCAGACAAATATTCAGAATGCACTGGAAAAGTCATTTTTTTAGCAGTAGAAGTGTTTGCACCAAAAATGCCTAGAACTGCAGCAATGCTGGGGTTTAAAAGAGGGGCTAGTATGTTGCGCTTGGTTTAATTGATCTATATGGTTTTTTTATAAATATATCCTCGTGTCATGAACTATAAATTTATTTTGTTAAAGGAGAACTATGACATGAGTGATTTCCACTCGCCTCATAGTTCTAAGCCGACCTGTGACAATGAGACTGTCACAGGTCAGCTCAGTAGATCGGGAGGTGAGAGAACACATACCGGGTTCCCTCACCTCTCGATCCTGTCACGGATCTCTGCCGTGACAGGGGGAGAAGACTTCATAAAAAAATATTGCAGACTTCATATAAAAACAGAAAGACAAAAAAATATATATATATATATATAAAGCAAAAAGTCTTATCTGCAGTCCGCTTCTGTCTTTATCGAAATTGCAAAGTTCGGAAAGTTCAAGGAAACAAATATATAAAATTATATATAGATGGTAGACTTAAATTCTCCTTTCTTCTTCACTCTATCACGGAGCTGCTGGAATCACTTTTGTTTAGTTCCCCTTCGGTTACCCGTCCTTCACCGCTGTAATGGCTATGCCAACTCACCGGATACAGTTGGAAAAACAGGACCGGGCAATTTTTAGTAGAGGGAAAAACAAGAGGAAAAAAAAGACAATCTTAAGTGTAGTATTCAAAACATTTATTAAAAAGCAAAAAATGTATACACTTACAAGATTGTGAATTTTAAAAGCATTTAAGTGTAAAAGGACACTCAGCCTTGTGGAACATCCGATGTGTAGGAGAAGAATCCCTTGACGCGTTTCGTCCTGCTTGGACTTTTTCAAAAAGGATGATTACTTCTCCCTTCCATCGGTCTTTATATAGTACAGTCAATTAATTCATTAATTCATGCATCAATTACCTTCTATGTGCACCTCCTCTATAATAGCAGGTGCGGTACATCCCAATTACTATCAAAGTTACTGAAAATGGAACGGAATCTCCCCAATGTCGTATCTTGGCACCAAAAACGGAGATATTCCATGGGATGTGGGTCTATTGTGAGTTATATTCATCCAATGTCGACTGTACAAGGGTATATAGAGTACGTTCGTTTTAAAAATTGTGACGGGACCTCTCGATCACTAGATCTTTAAGAAACATGTTCATACAGTAATATAAATGGGTGTGCTATGTATAATAGTAGTAGTCTTTGAACCATGGTAAAAAATTATGCAGTACATAGAATTTAGTTGATTTAAAATGAGTTATTTAAAATGAAAAGCATTTGCAAATCATGGACAGCATTTTAAAATACAAAGATTAACACTTGGATGGATGTCTCAAATATTACATCCATAATATTTGTATAGTTTTTAAAGAGCATTTAAAACACACAAAATAAACACATTTATATTAGCATATGTGTCAAATTTTGAATCAGCGGCATAAAAAAATATAGCTTCCGATCCAGATTGCTGGAGTGTATGATCCAACATTTAATATTAGTGGATCATTATATATTGTACTATTCATTATTTATATTTATTGCAATGTATGCCACATTTTAGTTTACACTCTTTTACCGTATGTTTTGTAGATTTTTATGTTTTTCTATGCTTTTAATCTTACTACTAACATTGCATGAATGAATTTTTAAAACGAACGTACTCTATATACCCTTGTACAGTAGACATTGGATGAATATAACTCACAATAGACCCACATCCCATGGAATATCTCCGTTTTTGGTGCTAAGATACGACATTGGGGAGATTTCGTTCCATTTTCAGTAACTTTGATAGTAATTGGGATGTAGCGCACCTGCTATTATAGAGGAGGTGCACATAGAAGGTAATTGATGCATGAATTAATTAATTGACTGTGCTATATAAAGACCGATGGAAGGGAGAAGTAATCATCCTTTTTGAAAAAGTCCAAGCAGGACGAAACGCATCAAGGGATTCTTCTCCTACACATCGGATGTTCCACAAGGCTGAGTGTCCTTTTACACTTTAAATGCTTTTAAAATTCACAATCTTGTAAGTGTATAAATGTTTTGCTTTTTAATGTTTTGAATACTACACTTAAGATTGTCTTTTTTTTCCCCCTCTACTAAAAATTGCCCGGTCCTGTTTTTCCAACTGTATCCGGTGAGTTGGCATAGCCGCTACAGCGGTGAAGGACGGGTAACCGAAGGGGAACTAAACAAAAGTGATTCCAGCAGCTCCGTGATGGAGTGAAGAAGAAAGGAGAATTTAACTCTACCATCTATATATATTTTATATATTTGTTTCCTTGAACCTTCCGAACTTTGCAATTTCGATAAAGACAGAGAAGGGGACTGCAGATAAGACTTTTTGCTTTATATTTTTTTGTTTTTTTTTGTCTTTCTGTTTTTTATATGAAGTCTGCAATATTTTTTTATGAAGTCTGCAGTATTTGATAAATATATGACCAAAACCGCTTGAAAGGTAGAAAGGAAGAAATAATAGCGGCGTTTTAAGTGGCTCCATTCCACGTTGATAGATCTTGTGTATGTGACCATTCTAGTTCAACCTGTTGGGCATGCTGCATTTTCGTTTTTAGTTAACAATCTAATTGCCATATCGTTTGTCACATTGAACACTTGTTGCACTAAATGTATGTTGTGGTTCATCTCACGAAGAAAGAATTAGAATAATTAATTCACACCTTAATAAGTTAAGGTCATCACCACTTTAGGAATTTATAGCTTTTTTGCACATTTTATTCAGAAGTTCACACTTTCCAATGTTTTAAACACAATTAGTGTTAAACTTATATATTTAATATTTTTTTTTGAGTGGAATCCATTAGAACACTAAAAAGAGACACACACTAAGAAGTAATTACTCACCAGCATTCAAGTCTACTATTTACAGAGTTCAGTGTCACGTAGGATCACAATCACTCATTATTTAGCAGATTTAAATATCACTTATTTCATTATTTACAATATTACAATCACTACGGATAGTACACTCGGATTAACAAAATAAATTTATAGTTCATGACACATTATGAGGATATATTTATAAAAAAATCATATAGATCAATTAAACCAAGCGCAACATACTAGCCCCTCTTTTCAACGTTTAACATACATTGTTGCAGCTGGTGCCTAATATTGACTCCAAAAGCGCAAACTAACTGGTTTGAAGAATGCTGGGGTTTAAATGGCGAGCAGTGTCTTAATACTTGGTGAACCCTGTGGCTTATCTAAATATTTAAAAAATATGTGACTATGGCACCAAGGGCTGGATTTCCCACAAGGCCAACCAAGGCCCGGCCTCGGGCAGTATAGAGGCAGCAGGGGTGTGGAATTCCTATCTCCTGATGCCCAGGACATGTGCATTGATGAACCTGCCCTACGGGCAGCAGAGTAAATCTGGTCCTGATGGCGCCTCAAAAGAGTTTTCCCTTTTCTTCAAATTGCTGAAAATTTTATTTTATTTACATTTGTCAAAATGTATCACAAAAAAAAACACATTTAAATCAAACCTATCAGCTTCCCCAAACCAAAGTAAAATCAGGACAACATTGTTCATCAAAACCCCTAAAGATGGCTGCCCCACCTGCTAATCCTCACTATGTAGCAGCAAATTTACTGTAATTACTATACATGGCAGAGACCTATAATCATAATCTTTGCCATCCAAATACAAGTTCATCATGGCCACAATGTTTATAAATCTTTTTCCATGCTATTCGGATAAACCAAAACTAAAGAACTAAATAAATGAATGAATAAATCCTGCTGCCATGCTAAACCACAGTAAGTTGATCATCTCAAAGCTAATGCACCGCGCTGGAAATGTGTATCAAATCAGTTAACCATTAATACTAAATATCAATAAAACAACTTGTATCATATAACAATTCTCCACAATCCAGACTTCAATAAAGGGGAAAAAATATACATACAAAGCGGATCTTGTGTATCCCGTGTAATAAATTGCTAATATAGAAAATATAATATGTGACATATACTGATAATCCACATACGGATTTCAAAAAAGAGAATAAGAAAAAGTGCACATACAAATTATCCCGTGCAGCAAGTAACTGATATAGCAACGTGTAATATGTAGCGATTCCCAAATTCAATCTTCAGAATTTTTACACATATAAAGTAGTTTTTGCGTGTATCCTGTGCAGCAAGTAACACTATCCAGATTAGCCCAGCTGTGGTCAAGTGAGTCTGTGACTCTTTCAGATCATTACAATTCCCACACTGTAGTAGAAAGTTCCCACAAATTCCACATAAGATGTTTCGATCTCCTCCAATATCATATCAATAAGTCTATACACTCACCAGAAAGTTCTGACCATGCATTTAAATGGTCAATCTACATTTGCGGTAAGTGTGCTCTCCTTGTGACACCCGTTAACTGCCTCTCATAATCTCCATCCTCCTCTCTCCTTCTCAGATAGTCCAACGAACACCCCAAAATTCTGACCAACACTCGGATGGCAAAATGTAATGTCTTAAACTAGGTGATAGTCTCCCTTTCTGCTGGTTCCACGTTACACTTCCTTGCCGTTTTGGATGCAGTAAGGGAGAGTTATGACCCCCATCTGGTTTTTTTTTTTTCCATCTGCCCAAGTGAGAAGATTTCCCTTCACTTCTTCTCTGTAAGCCACAACAGGAAGAGCAGTTGTGGCTTACAGACAAAAGTTGTTTTTTTTCATTGTGAATAGAGTTAAAACCCTATCAGATTCTGTTTTGCTGTTTGTGTCCAGGGGAGATTTCCATCCACTTTCTGTCCTAGAGACATAACAGGAAGTAAGGAAATTTCCCCAAAGTCATGGGTATTGCCATTGTAAGAAAATGACACGTGTAACGAGCCCCTGCTCGCTCGGTTCCACTCTCCCGGCACTCCTCTGCTACTAATGGATCAGATGTCAGACCGCAACGT